TAGGAAAGATTGTGTTGATTTCAGCCTAAATCCCCCCCCCATAAATATATGTTTTAAAAAGGGCATTGCATTAATGTGGCAGGGCATGCCACTAAATTCAGTTAACCAATTTACAAATCCACATGTGTGGCTTGGTTTTGGTTGAAAGAGAGGATTCTTACCACAAATAAATCCCATTGATATCAATGAAAGCCAGATAATTTCCAGAAGGTGGAATTTCAAATAACAAGCATTCCAGCAGGCAAAAAAAAATTTTTTTGAAGTGCAAATACAAACCACATTTGAAAGAAAATTAACCTCCCAAGCCTGACCTTCATTTCCGCTTTTAATTTTTCCAAAAAAATAAAATAGTCACTCATTCTTGTGTGACAGATCTTCAAAAAGAAAATGAAAATTACTTTAGTTATTTTCACCTTTCTTGTCCAGAGATACATTCAACAGCATAAGAACAACAACAGCCACATAATGGAGAAAAGCCTTTTTGAGAGTTCATCCAAAGGGAAAACTGGCTTGGTAGCGGTGATGTTTTTGACAACTTGATACTTTCAACAGTAAAGAAGATGCACTGCTCATATTAATTTATTAATGATTTATGAAATATAGGCAGAGACAATAAATTTGGAAGCAGATGGCTTCAGATTCCAGACTTTTTCTTCTTTCTTCTCTCACTTCCTCTAAACTGAGTCCTGAAATCTCAATTTGCCCATCACATAAATAGCCCAATTTAATTAGCATACAATGCTTCTTTCCATGATTTTTTTCCATCACTCTTGGAAACAATAAGTGGGTAGCACCTCCTTCTTCTGAAAAATGGAAGAGGAAGGAAATGAAAAATCCACCTACGCTTGGCTTTTAACTTTTTATTTGCTTTTCTAGGTTTTCTTTTAAAGTCTAATTTCAGAAAAATGCCTAACATAGCATGATCATTATATTCCTCTTGATTTCTTTAATGGTTGAGTGCTTGAAGTCAGTATGGGTGGCTTCCATCCATCCACTTGGCCTGTATACATTACAGATCTCTTTCAATTCGTTGGTAACTCCAGCAAGGTGGCTGAAATGTGAGCTTGTAGTTTTATTGGTCCAAATCCTTTAGCTCCACTCAGTTGTGGTACTATCTGGTTGTTTTCAGTTGTTTACAAACAAACTACCGTAATCTCCTAGACAAACATCCTGGCAGGATGAAAATAGAATGTGTTACAGAATGGTCCAAAAAATGCAATCACCTCCTGGTTAATGTTCAAGACTCATTGTTAAGACCTTAAAATGTGGCCACTAAACACAATGCACGCCAAGGTAGTTTAGCTGCTCCAGAATTGACCATTATCTTTTATAGTTAAGAATCAACTGCACATTATTAGTTTTACTCCATTGGTTTTGACGAGGCAATTTGCTCTTTGCCTTGCCTTGGCCTTGTTAGTGATTCAAAAAAAAAAGTCTCACAGAGGAATTCAGGCACTTCTCACCCGATCCAAAGCCTAAGTCAATGTGCCCCTTATCCCCTTTTATCGTTGACCTCTCTGGGCTTCAGATCAGACCCGAAGTGCCTTGACCATCAAAGACATGCATTTGGCTCCCAAAACATGCCATAATAAAAGCAACTTGAATGTCTTGTTGCTGTTGCCCTGTACTTGGGATTAAAGGAGCCCAGAACTCTCATAAATGCAATTCTGGAATATGCTGTGAACTATCACAGCCGTGGAGGAAAGAAAGGGGTTCCATCCTTACCCGTTTCTCCTCTTGCTGCTTTTTCTTGAGCTTGATGGGATTGAAGTTTAAAGGCAGACAAAGAGCTTTGTTGAATTGGGGCAAAGATCTGATTGATCTTCCCAATCTTGGGGAACAGGGTGTTCCTGATAAGCCGATATCCAGATTGTAGTGGAGCAAGTCAGCCAGAATTACCATCTTTGTTTGAGGATATATATATATTCTCCTAATACATCTGGACGCTAATCTCATCCCAGTCTGTTTCTCTTTCTCCTTCTCCTTCTTCTTTTTTGCCTGCCGAACATCACCATCACTCTGTGATAAATTATGCTTTAGATTAATAATCCAGAAAACTCCAAAGTCTCTAGAATCGTGCTCATTTTCTTTAGTTTAGAAATGATAGGGCAAATGCGGATGCTGTTGTCTTCTTCATCCCAGCAATTCCCTCTTTGCAACTAAGTGTGTGCAGTTAATGAAAGACACAATCATGAGAGGAGACTAGATGTTAAACTTGAAAACCATTTTTGGGATGGATTTGGACCTTCGCATCTCATTTCTGTTGGCTTTGACAAAGAGAGGAGAAACAGGCTATTAAGATCAAAGCAGATTATTTATCTATTTCTTCTTATGACTCCTCTGAGTGGAACCAGGTCTTGGAAAGGAGAAAAACCTGGATTGCAGTTGAGTCGCATTGCAGTATCTGTTTCGTTACTTCTATCCAAGGCTTAGCTCACCAGTACTAGTTTCCCCACATACCATCCAACAAAACAGTTCTCTCTGTAATTATTAATTTTGGAAGAAATGATACCGCTCTAAATATCTGATAATGCTCCTTTAACATTAACAGCCTGGTAAATGTGTAGGAGAGGCCGAAGAAATATAAGCAATCTTCCCTCAAGGTGTGGGAATGAATTGAAAAGAAAGAGAAGTATTTCTCCTTTTTGCTGAGTTGCTCTTCCTGCATAGTTCATTTCTGAAGCCCTGGGTGCAGTTCTTGGATGGTAATGCTGGAAGAGAAAGAAGTTAGTGGAGAAAACTGGCCTCGGTGAGGGTTGGGGGGAAGGGGATTTTGTGTCTTTCCATAAAGATTTTATGGTCCTGCAAAGTTGCAACAACCCCCTTCCGGGCTTCCCCTGCACAGACCAGGAACCTGAGGAGGGGCATCCATTTCTACTCGCCTTCGGAAAACTCTCCTCCGCTAGCCCGCCTTCTTCTTCCCACTTCAAAGGGACCTGTCTGCGGGGAAGCTCTTAGGAGGAGAAGGCGATTTCCTTCCCGTGGGCCCAACAAGCCCGATAGGAAGCCCCGAGACCCTTTGGTAGATCGCCACTCTTGCTCCCCGGGTTGGGAAGGGCGAGTCATTCGGGGAGCTTTGTGTCTCCTATGAAAGCCAAGGGTAAGTGCTGCAGGATGAGAGGGCAAGGGTAAGGAAGCGTCCGGGCAAAGGCTTGGGCAGAAAAGGAAACCTCTCTCCTGGCCTCTTCGATTTCCTTGGCATTCCTAGCATTTCGGAGGGCGTTGTGGGTGAAGGCGAGGTGGATGCCAGAACGGAACCGAGCTAAAGATTGACTGCACTATATTGAATTGTTCAAAAGAATATTTCTGACTCGCTTGGGAACTGAGACAGGCTATCAGTTAGTGCTAACAGCTGGGATGGCTTGGAGCACGGCGAACTAAAGCCCAGACTGGCAACCTTTTTATGCTAAACAAGAAGAACATTTGAAAGGAAGCCTCCCAAAAGGTGCCAAGAGCGATTGAGAGAGTTGCTCTTGCTCCAGACCTTGTTTGCATTGCTTCCAAAACCACAAGAAGCCAAGCAAATGAGGAGTCTTTGGAGTCTTCTCGGTGCTTCTTGATCATAAAATCTACCTCCCTTCTCTGCTGGGCTCCCTCTCTCGTCTGCTGACTGTCGATTCCTTCAATCACAGTTATAAATTGACTGTACAGAATTGTCTAGCAGTTTTTGCTTTGGCCATTTCTGGATGAAAAAAAAAGTCATATGTTGTTTTTTTTAAAGTAGAAGAGGCGCCTCACTTAGCTAAATGCAGATATTTAGAAAGAATTGTATATTGTTTCTATAATTCAGGGCTCTACCCTTGAAAAATCCTTAATCCTGAGCGGGAGATTCCTAGAAAATAGGAGCGTGGAGATGTTTTTTTTCCAGATTTTGCTTCCTTTCATTTTCATGAAAAGGTTTTAGTTTAAACTTGTGATTTGGACTTCTGGTTTAAAGGACAATTACGGATAGAATCGCCTTAAAAAAAACACTCCAAACTCTTCATCTTGCTGGTGGTATGGTAATTCTATACTGGGTGCTTGTACTGTGATATTTTTTGCTAAGTGGGGGGTGAACTGCTTCTCCTATGCAGAGGTATTGATAAGTAATACCTCTTACTTCTCAACGTAGTATCCTAGGCTCAGCGAGAAAGAGGGTAAAACACAGGTGTGAAAATTATCCGCATTGCTGCGGATGGTGTCTTAAAAAGCCGGAAGAGGAGGATGGACTGTCTTCTCGATATCAGTAAGCCTTGACTGTTAATAAGAGCTTGGGTCGGGCTTCCAACTTGCGGTGGCCAGGCTGAGATGACCATCGACCTAGACTAACGCCTAGGCGAGCTACGAGAGCTACTCCGAGTCTCGCCAAAGTTGGTGAGCCTGTTTGAGCTTCAGAAATGTCAAGGCAGCACGAGTTGTGCAAAGAGTAGGATGGGGAGAGGCTGAACAGTTAGCTTACAGGTGGCTTGTTGATGTACAGGACGTAATAATTTGCTCACGCCTTTGCTGTTTTATATTAGTGCATATGCTAATAGACCAGAACGCGCTAAATTATGAGTCTCATTAAAACCCGGCGGTGTTTTCTATTGTTTTCCTCCTCCCGCCACTTCGCCCTTCATTATATAACCTCCTGAATGCTGTCCCCCCTCTGAGAACTGGCAAAAGCAGCCACGTGAAGACGTGGCCTACTGAGCGTGGAACACCCCCAGACATGCCTGTGTGCATATATTCACACATGCATGCATATATGCGAGGACACACACAACCACACATCACCTTCGGTACGTTATATTTTCAAATCTATAGACATGCATATCCACCCACGCACCTCCGTGCACAACTACAAGTACACGCACGCACGCACGCACACGCGCCATTCAGACGTGGGCAGGAGAGCAGCTCGCCGCCTACGAAACCAAACTGGGAGGGGTTGTGAACGAAGGCTGGGTTTCCATTGGCTGCACGCAGTCGCCGTGGCGTGGGGGTATCTCTAATCATATTCAGCATGTTTTGCACAAGAAATGTCAGCCAGGAAGGGCTCTCTGCTCTCTTCGCCAAATTATTCCAAGGAAATGGCATGTTCGGAGACCCCAGCTGCAAACGCCTTTTTGGTGGACTCTTTGATCAGCTCAGCCTCAGGCAGAGGGGAAGGAGGGGGAGGCGGCGGCGGCGGAGTTGCAGTAGGAGGAGGAAGAGGCGGCGGCAGCAGCTACTACCCGAACAACGGTGGTGTCTACCTGCCACAGGCGTCCGATTTGCCGTACGGGTTGCAAAGCTACGGGCTATTCCCGGTCCTGAGCAAATGCAGCGAGGATCTGCCCCCTCCGCCGCCGCCGCCAAGCATGGTTCCCACTCCGCACACTTACATGTCAGGGATGGAGGTCTGGCTAGATCCCCCGAGATCCTGCAGCCTTGAAGAGCCCACAAGCCCACAGGCGACCTCCTGCTCCTTCGCTCCCAGCATTAAAGAGGAGAGCTCCTACTGCCTCTACGACTCGGACAAGGCCCGCAAAGAGGCACCGGCCACCGACCTGTCGCCTTTCCCGAGGCTAAGCGCAGAGATCTGCGCCGTGAATAACGTGGCGGCGGGGGTGCCTGTCCCGGGCTACTTCCGCTTGTCTCAAGCCTATGGCACAATCAAGAGCGGCAGCTGCTATAGCAGCTCCCACCAACACCACCAACACCACCAACAGCAGGAGCCGCCGCCGCCGCCGCCGCCGCTGCTGCACCCAGGGCAAATGGTGGCTGCTTCCCAGTTTGCCCCGCAGCCCCAAGTGAGCTTCGAGTCTTCTCCGCCGTTCCCTCTGGCCGCCTCGTTGCCCGAGCAAGGCAAGAAAGACAGCGAGGATTCTTCCCCACCCAGCACTTTGGCCGGGGATTCGCAGAGAGGAGAGGAAGAAGGGCAGGCTTCTTCTTCTACCGCAGAAGAGCTGTCGCCGGCCCCCTCGGAGAGCAGTAAGCCTCTCTCCGAGAAAGAAACCCTAGGTAAGGATTCCTCATCCACCGAAGGCGGGGAAAGGCTTTAAACCCTTCCCCGTCCAAAGAGCTTTTGCCAGGTCAGCCCAGCAGCAGCCCCCAGGAAGGGCAGCTTAGTCAAACCGATTCAAAGCGCCACTCAGATTTTGTGCACCGATGCAGAGATAATGTAGATACCAGACAGCCAGGCCATATAGTCAGAAAAAAAGCTTATCCAGGGAGAGACAAAAAGGACAAACACGTGTGCATATCTCTTCTTATTTTTATTTTATTTTGCAACTCTTAATGCACTGGCGGTGGACAATAGAGCATTCGGGGGAGGGGGCCAAAGGGAAAGGGGAAAAAAACCACACCCAAGTCTGCCCTTCGTGGCCCACCGTGGTGCAGAAATGCCTGAACAGATAACAGAGACGTTCATTAAAAGGCCAAAGTAAGCAAAAAGTCAGCGTCCATAAATAAAACCCTTCAGAACCTAAGTTCTAGTTTACGATCTTGGATGCCTTTACAGACCCCTCCTCAGAGCATTTAGTTGAGTTGAAATTCTCTCAGGCAGCAGTGTCAGTTTAGACTGCAGGCTGCCCTGCCAGTGTCCCTGCTGGCTTAAAGGACTCTTCCAGGGTAAAAATCCAAAGGGCTGTTCCAATGAATGGGAACTGCCTTAAGGGCGCCTTGTGACCATTCTTTCCAATTCCTTTTATTGCAAAGAAGAAAGTTTGTGCAGCAGGCATTCCTGCTGCAATGGAACACTAAGTGATAACAATAGCCACGTAGTACTACTAGTAGTAGGAATATTTCCAAACTTTTACAAAGTAGGACATTCAGTACTGATCGCTCATAATTCTGAAAAGCGATGACGCTAAGTGTACCCATGTTACTCATATCCAACTACATGCAAGAATCTGTTTCTGTATTGAGCCTCAGTCCAGAAGGGAAAGACATTCACCCTCCCCCTAAAAAAAATCTGTAGCTCTGCAGATATTAAGGAACCATATATCCCTCCTTTTCAATATGCCAGGTGGCTAATCATCTCCTGGTGACCCATGTAAATATAATTAATTTGTGGAAGAGGAATTGATCTTGTCATCCTATGCAGATTTGCTTGTTTTGTTGAATTAAATGGCTTCAGTTCCCAAATATGCAGCTATGGGATTTTATTTATTTATTTAGCTGGTTTAGCTAGCCTTAGCTGAGTTACAGATTTGTGCTGGGAGGGGGGGAATGATCTCAGAAGGGGAAAGTGTGGAGCAATTTTAAATTTAGTACTGTATACTCATGGGGTTATATTTTCACATCATCTGTCTTTTTACTTAGGAAGAAGATGGTGGGTTTTAAATATATATACATTATTATTATTATTTTGGAAATAGAAATGTTTGAGGGAAAGACAAGTCACTGGCATACCTTGCTGGCTTCAATACCAAAATCTGGCCGCCTTTGCTTAGGCGATCTTGAGAGGCAAGCAAATCAAGCAGGAGGGTGCAGATTGTCCCTGGGTGTGGGTAGGGAGGGAAGACCTTCGAAAAAGTGCTTTAAAAAGAAGGCTGGGGCTGTTGCCACAAACTTAAGGTCAGTAAGGACCTAGACCTCAAGTACCATTCCCGGTTCCTTCCTGGTGTCCTTGATAATGTCCCTGGCTGACTTTTTTTTTTAAACTAGGCAGCCAGAAGGGAGAGAATGCAGCCACCTGGCTTACTGCGAAAAGTGGTAGAAAGAAGAGGTGCCCTTATACCAAGCACCAAACGCTGGAGCTGGAGAAAGAGTTTTTGTTCAATATGTACCTGACTCGTGAGCGTCGTCTAGAAATCAGCCGTAGCGTCCATCTCACGGATAGACAAGTTAAAATCTGGTTTCAGAACCGCAGAATGAAGCTGAAGAAAATGAACAGAGAGAATCGGATTCGGGAGCTCACAGCCAACTTCAGTTTCTCCTGATGGATCTATGGACACCTTTGAATTGTCTAAGCAGCCCATACAATCCTGCACCCCACCCCACCCCAGATCACCCCACCCCATTTGGTCAGGCTTTAACTATTGGCACCTGTGTGGATTTGAACCTTTTAATCCCGCTCTCAGCCTTTCCATAGCTTCTTTGTAATTGATTTCGTTGGGATAAAGCCATAGCAAGGCAAGCCCAGCATTCCTTCTGAACTTCCCTTCTTCTGTTCTCACTTCTGGAGACCCTGGCCCTTGAGAAATAGGATATCCCAAACACTACGTGCCTATTCTCTTTTCCTAGCCTACCCCTTTAAAAAAGAAAAAAAACAAAAACAAAAAGCAATCAGAAAAGAAACCTAGCCAAAGGAAAGGTGCATTCCGAACCTCTCGCTAAGCTATGCCACATGTTGCAAACTGGGGTTGAGTGCAGTTTTCAATCATTTAAACATTTGACCACACCACCCCAAACATGGATCGGGTTTGATATTATTATTATTATTACTATTTTCTTGTTTAGCCAATGTTAAGCAGCTATTGTGGAAAGAAAAAAAAGTCATATTGTTTAAAAAACCAAAACTGTTCATTTGTTTACTCCTTTATTTTTTACAAATGTTTAATATTTCAGCTTTAAAAGTTTTCTTGGAAAAGAGGGAGAGAGAAAGAGAGGGTGGGGGAAAGAGAGAGAAAAACTGCTCCTGTCCTTTCTTGAAAGATAAGAACAGTTTTATGTTCCTTAATGGTTAAATTATTACATTTCCTAGTTGTAGGTAATTTTTGTTTTAGATAAATGGTTCTTAACCATTTGTTCCTTATGTTTGACAAGCACAGACAAAGAAAGATACGAAAGAACATTTATTGAATGGAGAGGGGGCGGAAGACCCCGATTTTGCCTATTCTGTACCTAGAAATGTATGTTTGTGTGTGTGTTTGTATGTGTGTGTATATATATGTAAGTGCATATACACACACATACACACACTCTGAAGTATTTCCTGACTGTATGAGATAGCAAAGAAGAAAACTCTTTATTTCCTTGATACTGTGAAGTTACATGCATTGAAAAAAATCAAGCGTGTAAGTACAAAGAGAAGAAAAAACCCTATGAAATAGATATGTACAAATGTCTATTATTATTAAAATAATTAATATTATTAAAATGCCAATACAGTTGGAAGCAAAGTATTCTTTTCATTATTTAGATGCTAGCTTTACTTCTTGCTCTTACCTCAAGTGTTCAATAAAAATATCCTAATGCAGCTATGCACAAAGATGAACCAAACTCCAGATATGTTGTTGATATTTTATTGAAAGCATGAAAAGATGTGGAATGAGTTTCCATAAAACAACAGCAACCACCATCAAATAATAATAATAATAACAATAATAATAATCTGTTTTTGTGTCTGCTTATTCTCAGAACTCTATTTTTAAATTTTCGTGAACTTTTACAATAAAGAATAGTTGACTAAGCCGCCTATACACACTTAGAAATCAACTTGAATGTAGACAGTCATAATGTGCCAGGGACATATAGGAATGATGTAGTAAGATTTGTCAGCTTTTGTTCAGTTTTATGGCTTCCTAGCATATCTGGATTGTAGCCATCTTAGAGGAAGAATTAGCTTCAGTTGAGCGAGGACAGTTGAGTGAGGAGCTGTACAGACTAACCAAACTGAGAATTTTATCTTTGAATGTAGAGAATTGGCATTGTTGTTGTCACTGTTTCACGAGTATGACTCTCAGTTAGTCTAGTAGAGTCTCTGAGCATAAATTCCAAAGCAGAACCAAAAGGACTAAAGGAAAACAACGGGAAAAGGTGAGCAATAGGAATTTGGATCTTAAACTTCACTGGCCTATGTTGCAGGTTTTCTGCCATGATTCACCTGGCTGCAGGATGTGACTAGGCAAAAATGTCATCTTAAGATTCTATATAAATCCATATCTATCAAGTCTAAGATTGAAACAATGGAATCCATGAAGGGAGGAGAAAGAGTAGTAAAGAAGGCGGGTGGGGTGAGGTTGATAGGAATTTGAATAGTAACCTACAGCCAAGAATTTTATCCTCCTCCTTCTCACCACCTCCTCCTCCTCTTCCTCCTCCTCCTTCTTCTTCCCTTCTTCTCCTCCTCCTCCTTCTTTTCCTAAGAGGTTTTAGATCTTTAAAAAAAACATTACTATTTACGGAAAACATTTTAATCACTGAAGGCCTATCTCCCCACTCTTCCTTCACTTCTTTTCATTGCATACTCTTTATATTCTAAACATTCTACTGAAAAGATTAAAAATGGCCAGTCAGATTCCTAATATTTATAACAAAGAAGTTTAGTAAGTGGAGGTGGCGGGCTGTTGGTGGGAGAAGGGAGAAAGGGGAGGAGAACCATAAGGAAGGCTCGGCTTTGGTTACTGGCTTTTATTTATTTATATACTGGGCTGGGGTTTCCCTCTTCTTTCTTTCTTTTTAATACCATCCCCTACCGGGGCTCTTTTGCTTAAAGGAAAGTGGCCACGGGGAACCCTGTTAATTAGAAAGCTGAAAACTGGTCGGTGATTTAGGTAGTTTCTCGTTGTTGAGGCTGAACATTTCTCTCTCTGCAGCATGAAACTGCCTTCATCACCTCAGTTTATAATCATCAAATGGGTGTAATCCCAAACAGACGTTTAAGGAGGATAAAAGCATTGCCTTTAACTACCGAAGGAATCTGGGGGGGAGGAGACACCCCCCTCTCCACGCTGTCTCCTGGAGGCGTCAAGTCCCAACGCCATTGTTTCTTTCTGCGCGCCGAAATGCTGCTTCCAATAAACCAAGGTGGAGGAGGGGGCATTTAAAAAAAACCAATACAAAACTGCATGGAAGAGACCTTCAGGGCTAAGCAACATCCGTTGACTTCGGATTTTTATTCCTGTTTGAAAGAGGATCCTTTCCACAACTCCGAGATTCCTTTTCTCAAGGTCAGGGGCATTAAATAATTATTATGCTTTTCCTGTTCGAGGAATCCATTCTGGCTGCTTGTCCTTGCAATGTAATTGTGGCCCTGACTGCAGGCTCTGCTGCGAATGGGACAAAATATTACCGCCTTTCTTTCCCACAGCAATACCGACTTCAAACTCTCTGTTATTTACGGGAAGGAAAAAAAGAAAGAATATTTGACAGAAATTTTCAGTGCTAAGCTACATTTCGTTAAAGAGGTGCTCGCGAGAACGCGCGCGCCCTTTGATGCCTCCCTGGTTCTCCCTGATTTCCACAGCGGCTCTTCCATCCTCATCCCCCTCCCTTTGCGTGGCAGTTTTTGTTCCTCTCGCCCCCTCCCCAATTCAGTCCACCGGTTTTCTTTTTGTTTTTTTGAGGCGGGTAGGGGAATGTGGCATTTAGGGTGTTCTCCCACGCGCGCGCAGACAACCGCTTCAGCAAGGTGGAAGGAAGACAGAGGGCCCCGAGAGGTGAGAACGCAGAGATTTCTCCAGGGCTGGCAAGGCCTCGGTTACGATCATTATTGGAATGGGTCGGGGCGCCTGCATTCCAGTGAGGCGGCATAAGCAACAGCGACCTCGCTCGGGCTGAGGCGGTGTGCCGGCCCGTTCCCTTTTTATGTTCGGCAGCCCCGCGAGACGGAAGGAAGGCGCTGCGCCGTCTTGTTTACATCCCACACACACGTTATTTACCGCTAGTGTAAAGGAACAAGACTTCTCTCTTGGGTACGGGGGGAGGTGTAGGGGAGCGGGCGGGCCGACGTGGGGTTTGAAAAAATAGGACGTTTCTTGGTCTCTGTTTTGTCTCATCCCACTTTTAATTAAAAAAAGCTTTCAGATTTCAGACGCCAATTAAAGGAGGCCTGGAGATGGAAATCCAATTTTTGCAATTTTGTTTTCCCCTATCTTGTTTGAAAGTTGAGCTTTGTGTCTCTTTTTTTAATATTACCGAAAATCTCAGAAGTTTCGCGGCAAAGGTTTCTCTCTCCACCCTTATAACACAGGCATGTATTTATAAACACACACACACACACACACACAAAATATCTCTGTTTATCTATCTATAGTGTGTGTATGCTTATCATTATATATATACATACATACACACACACACACACACACACACATATATATACACACACTATATATATTATAAATACACTGTATAAATATATATATTATATAGTATGTGTTTATAAATACATGCCTGTGTTTTATATATATTGGTATACATTGGTATACCTGATTGGTATACATGCACACATCTCTCAAAAAAAACCCTATATATTTTCCAGGTTGATGGTGAACCATGCAAACACACATCTATATATACATATCTATATAGATACACACACAAAAACCTACTTATGTAATATATGTCTGTGCGAATTACGCACTTCGAACTAAGATTTATACTTTTTAATGAAATATATAAACAGACATGGCCCTCACAAGGACATTCAAGAGCTATACTTGGTATATATAGCTTATACTTTTTCTCTTGATAAGTTATTATTTATTTGTAATGGTCCTCAAAGTCTCAAAACCTCTTCAATTCCATAGTGGAGGGCTTTCTATCAAATCTTTCTCTAAATCCTAAGTGCTTTTGAGTGGATGTGGAAGATACAGACTTGTCCCTGTCTGTGGAGAGGAACAGAAGCAGGAGCCTAAATATAGAGGTATCTAGCCTGTATTTGAAAGCAAAAGGAATAAGGTTATGAAATGTCTTTATTAATTCGTAGACTCTATGAAAAAAGAAGAAGGAAACAGATCTCAATAACTCAAAACTTTTGTTTGCTCTCTCTGGGGGGTGGGGGGAGATTCAAATATTTCATCTTTAAAATTTAGTAGATATTTTAAACGGCCCATAGATGTTAAGTAAGAAATCTGTGCACACCTGCTGAGAACTGGTATTTCAGAATTAGGAAATAAATATCCAAAATATTCTCTGTGAATCCCTATTTTGTACATGAGTGGATTATGTTAAATGTCTGCTTGCCTAAATACACTTCCTTGAAAATAAAGCCCAAATATTTTTGTTGAGGGTAAAGAAAGTCTATTAGCTTCCTTATGTGGATGGGCACCACATTAAGTATAACTTAATAGTTGCTTAAATGATAACATTATAAGCATAACCAAAGTAACCAATTTTATATTGTTATTATATTAAATTATATTAATTGGTTACAAGACATTGTTACAAAAATATAGATGTTCTTGAAATAAATTTTGACATAGGGAAGAAAGCAAGGGAGATAAAATTGGAAGTGTCTGCTTATCCCTTGTTGTCCATTATCCATTTCTGTGATTTCAAATTGAAATATATCCCCTTTATCTACATTTCTTATTACAGTTATTCCACAGTCTCCATTTAAATACTTTATATAGACTTTATTCTTTTAATATAAATATAACTTAATTGTTATAAAAGTTCTCATTTAAAAATGAATATAAAATAAATAACTGTAGCTTCTAAAATGCAACATAGTGTACAATATATACATTGAGGAAGATTTTTCTTTCTTTCTAAAGGAGGGGAAGCTCATCCAAAACCAAACTTTAGATTTTAAACAAATTATGTAAGGTACCCATGTGCATATATTCACAAAGAGAGAGACA